AGATCAATTCCTGTCCCTTGCCAATACCTACAAAAAAGCCAGAACTCCACAGGTTTTTGGATTCTGCATCCAGGCCTCCCAGGCAATTTCCTGGCAGCTCGGGGTCCCCTCTGGGGAAGGCTACCCAGCACGAGCCCTCCCCATTCCCCGCTCACCTTGCTCCTCCAGCACAGCGTGTGCCTCCCTCTCCCAGGGACCTCGGTGTGCCCCAAGGGACACGGGAGCCCCCCAGTCTCCACCCCGTCCCCCTCAGCCTTTGCTCCTCACCCCCAAATACGGCAGAGAACAACTACAACTGCCCTGGACAGCAGCACCTTGCTTTATTGGAAGCCCTTCTAGGTCTAGACCCCCTCCCAAAAAGGAGCTCTGCTGCAACAAGAAAGGGGGGCAGGTCCCAGGAATCCCTCCCCCAATTTTGACTCCTGAACTTTGACCTCCAGACCTTTGACCCCCACCCTTTTGATTCCCTGACTTTTGATCCCTGACCTTTGACCCAACCTTTGACATCTGACCCCTGACCTTTTACCCCTGACCCTGACCTTTGACCCCCTGACCTTTGACCCCCTGGCCTTATTCATAACACTAACCCTTGAAATGGTGGTGGTTGTGTTTTTCTGGTTCAGATTTGGTGCTGTGCATTTATTTTTAGTTAACTATGGTGGTGCATGCGTATTTCTGGTTTGATACGGTGGTCTGCAGATGCATTTTGGGTTGAATATGGTGATGTGCATTTATTTGTGGTTAAAAATAGTTGTGCTCATGCATTTCTGGTCAACTGTGGTGCTGTACATTTGTGTGGTTTTTGGATGCTGTGCCATGCGTGTTTTGGCGGGCGCGTGCGGTGTGGTTTTTTTGGAGGGCTCTGTCACAACTGCACCCACAGAATTTGGGATCCTCCCTCCTGATTTTAGGGTCCCCCAAGCCCCCTCCCCACTAATGTGGGACCCCTTTTGCACCCTTCAACGCCCTTTCCGGTTTTGGGTTCCCCCCGACCCCCTCCCAATTTGGGACTCCCCCACGATCACCTTCCCAGTTTTTAGACCCCTTCATTGATTCCCAAAATCCTCCTGTCATCCTTCCCACGGCTTTGCAGGGATTGAACCGGGACCCCACCAAACCCTTGGGCCCCTCAAAATTTCCTCCCCGGGGCTTTTTTGTCCTCCCTCCCCCAGGGGTTTTTACTCTCCCATCCGGGGTTGTCCTCACCCCTCTTTGGGGCACCCACCCACACCCCATTTTTATCACTCCCCCAAAGCCAACGCCCAGGTCCCCCAAAACACAACTTTATTCGCAGCCTGTCCTCGTCCATGCCCCCTCCCCACCCCACCGGGGCGTCCCGGTGTCACCCTCCCCCCCTCCCCCGAGGGTCCCCACCCCCACAGGGGCATCCTGGTGTCACCTCCCGCCCCTCGTGTCCCTCCCCCCTTCCCCTATTTACAGCTCTGGGATGTGGCACCGACGGGGGACAGCGAGGGGCACCGAGAGTGACCCAGGGCATGTGGTGAGCTTGGGGCCATCAGCTCTGTGTCACTCCACTCTGTCCTGTCCATCTTGGAGTCACGGTGTCTTGTCCCGGACCAGGTGCCTCCTATTGTCTCCCAGCTCGGTGTCACCACGTCCCATCACCTGTGGCACAACTCTTGTGACCCCAGCTCTGTCACCACATCCTGCCCACAAAATACTCCCTGTGTCCTCTGGCATGGTGGCACCGTGTCCCCTGTCTGTGGTACAGTCCCTGCGTCCCCCACCAGGGTAGCTCACTGTCTGTGTGTCCCCGCAGGACATCAACAGCTGCCAGAGCATTGTCCAGTTGTCCTTGTGTCCCCACCGTGGTGTCCCCTCAAGGCACAAAGAGCGGGTAGTGTCCCACATCTCGGTGCCATTGTCCCCACACTGTCCCCTCAGGGCACGAAGAGCGGGCGGTGCCCCCGGCGGTGCCTCCTGAGCGCGGCGCTCCTGGCGAAGCTCTCCCCGCACTCGACGCAGATCAGCGGCTCCTGCCCGCGGCCGCTCTCACCCCCCGCGGGCCCCTCGCCCTCGCCCCCCACCCGCGGCCCCTTCAGCGCCCTCGAGGCACCCGCAGGGTGGGCGCAGCGCCGCGGCCGCGCCGCCCCCGGCCCGGCGTGGGTGCGCTGGTGCTTGATGAGGTTCTTGCTCTGCGTAAAGCTCTTGCCGCACTCGGCGCAGCCGTACGGGCGCTCCCCGGTGTGGATGCGCTGGTGCTGGATGAGGTTGGAGCTCCAGGAGAAGCTCTTGCCGCAGTGGCCGCACCTGTACGGCTTCTCCCCGGTGTGGGTGCGGCGGTGCTGCACCAGGTGCGAGTTCTGCGAGAAGCTCTTGCCGCACTCGCCGCAGGTGCTGGGCCGCTCGCCCGTGTGCGTACGCTGGTGCCGCAGCAGCTTGGACCAGTGGCTGAAGCTCTTGCCGCACTCGTTGCAGATGAAGGGGCGCTGGCGGCCCCCACCCCGGCGTCCCCCGCCCTCCTCAGAGCCGCCCGGGGCTGGGCCGGGGGTCCCGCGGGGCGGCGGGGGGCGCAGGGGGCTGTGCGGGATCACCGTGCGGATGATCTCGTGCGGCAGCACCTCGGCCTCACCGTCGCTCACGATGCCGTCGTCAGCTAGCAGGGGCAGGGGGAGGGGGTGAGAGCACAAAAGGGGCTGGGCCTCCTCCCCAAATGTTCGTTGTGACCCAAAAAGAGGCTGGGCCTTCTCCCCAAATATCTATTGAGGCCCAGAAAGGGGTTGGACCCCTGACCCAAATGTTCATTGTGATCCAAAAGGAGCCGGTTCCCATTCCCAAATATTCACTGGATCCTAAAAAGGGGCTGGGACCCCTGACCCAAATGTTCACTGCACCCAAAAAGGAAATGGACCCCCTCCTCAAATGGTCATTGAACCCCAAAAAGTGGCTGGACTCCCGACCCAAACATTTGTTGTGACCCAAGAGGGGGCACAAAATGGGGCTGTGGCCCCTCCTGGTGTCCAGTGCACCCCAGAAAGGGGCTGGACCCCACCCCAAATGTTCACTGTACTCCAAAAAGGGACTGTGCCCCCTCCTGGAGTGTCTGGGCTCCCCCCTTTCTTGGGGGGTCTGAAACCCCCTTGAAAGTGTTTGGAGCCCCCATCAAATGTCTCTATCCCCTTCCAGTGGTGTCTGGAGACCCCCAAAAGTGCCTTGAACCCCCTCCCAAATGCCCCTAGCCCTTTCTTGGTGCATCTGGAGCCCCCCCCAAATTTGCCTGCAGCCCCCAAGAAGAGCTCATATACCTCTCCAGGGATGTCTGGATCCCCCCAGATTGCCTGTACCCCCTTCTTGGGGTGCCTGATGCCCCCCAAATTTGTCTGCAGTCCCACTGAAAGTGTCTGGATCCCCCCCAAAATTTCCTGTACCTCCTTTGTGGGTTACCTGGAGCCTCCCAATCGCCCCCCATGCACACTTTTGGGGTTCCCCCCTCACCAATGAAGACCCTCCGAACCACGTCCCCCTCGTCCGAGTCCTGCAGTTCCACCACGTCTGGCTCGTCCTGCTCCATGGGGGCTCCCAGGGGGGCTGCGGCACCAAGGTGGGCCCTGAGCACACCCAAAACCCCTTGGGACCCCCTCCAACCCACAATTCCAAAGGATCGCTTTCATCTTGTTTCCTGTTGTGCCCCCCAAATTTCTCAGTGTGATTCTAAAATCCTTCTTGTGACCCCAAATCCCTCTGGATGACCCAAAATTCCTTTTTTGCTGCCCTCAATTTCCCTGTACCCCCCTCCCTCCAAATCCTTCCGTGTTACCTCCCCAAACCCTTCAGGGTGATTCCAAATCCCCTCATGCCCCCCTAAGTCTCATCCCCTCAAAAACTTCTGTGCCTCCCAACCCATCTGTTCCCCCCCCAAATTTGTGTCAACCCAAATCTCTTTATGTCCCTCCAAATCCCTCAGTGTAACCTCAAACTCCACCACATGATCCCAAATCCCTCTGTGCCCCCTCAAATATCCCTGCTCCCCGCAAAATCCCTTTGTGTCCTCCCAAATCCTTCTGTGTGACCCCAAATCCCTCTATGCCCCCCCCAAATCACCCTGTACTCCCCAGTTCTGCCCCCACCTGCTCTTTGTGGGTCTTGGGGGGTCCCGCAGATGCTCCAGACTCAGCCCCAAAAACCTGAGGGGGGGAAAAATGGAGAGAAGCAGATGGGGGGGGATCACAAAGGGGGTGGTCACCCAGTGCCCCCCAAAATTACCCGATGCCCCTCAAATTACCCCCAGTCCCCCCCATTTTCCTCTTCCCCCTTTAATTTTGGGAAGGAGGCACAAAAGAACAATAGAGCCCCAGAAACCTTCCCCAAAATTCACTCCCCACCCCAAGTTCAATACTGAGGGGGGACTCCCAGGTTTTTTGAGGGGTCCCCACTCTCTGCCCCTCCTCCCAAAACGGTTCATCCACAGCCCCCCAGCCCTCCAAATCCAACACTGGGTTATCCCAAATTTTTTGGGGGCTCTCCCACATTTTTCGGAGGGGGTCTCCACTCTCATTCTCCCCCCTTCTGCCCCCCGAAACCAGCGCCTGATCCCACCCCCCAGGCCCAAATCCCTCTCCCTTCCCATCCCAAAGCCAAGACCGTGGTTATCCCCGACTGCGAGGGGATCTCCCAAATTTTTGGGGGGGGTCCCCACTCCCCTTTTCCCTTCTTTTCCAAACCTAAAAACGGCACCATCCCCCTCCTCATCCATTGCCGTCCCCCTGCCGTTGCCTTCTCCCTCCCAAATCCAAGATCGGGGGTATCCCAAATGGGGGAAGGGAGTTCCCTTCCCCCTAAATTTGGGGAGGGGGAGTGATTTCCGCTCTCCTTTTTCCATCTTTTCCAACCCAAAAAACGACGCCTCATTTCCACCGCCCCCCCTGCCCCCGGCTCCAATCCATCGTTCTTCTCCATCCCCTGGGTATCCCCAGTTGAAGGGGGACGGTCTCCCAACATTTTGGGGGGGACCCCCGCTCTCTTCCCTCACCTCTTTCACCCCCAAAACCTTCCGTTCATACACATCCCACCCGCCCCAAATCTTTTGCCAGTCCTTCGCCATCGGCTCCCCATCCCATATCCAAACCCGGGGCTATCTCCAATTGGGATGGGGGGGAGGTCTCCCAAATTTTTTGTGGGAGGGTTCCCACTCTCCTTTCTCCCTCATTTCCAGCCCCACAACGGCACCCCCGCCCCCGCCATCGCCTCCCGCATCCCAAATCCAACATGGGGGTATCCCAAACTGGAGGGGGAGTCTCCCACATTTTTTGGGGGAAGGGAGGCTTTCTCTGCTATTTCCCCTTCCCTTCCCCCCTAAAAACGGCGTCTCCCTCCCCTCCCCCCGCGCCCCCCGACTCACCTCGGAGGCTCCGCGGCGCGGGAGGGGCCGGGGGGGTTCCGGAGGGGCCTGGGGGTGGCTCCGAGGGTCCCGTCGGGCTCCGGGGTCCGAGGGGGTCGTGGCGGGGGCGCTCCCCGGTCGCGAGGCGGGCGCGGGGCCGGGAACAGGAAAGTCCCGTCATCCCATTCCCCGCCGGATGCGCCACTGGGAAAAAAGCGGGGAAAAAACGCTGGGAGAAGAGGGGGGAAACCTTGGAAAAACAGGAATTTGGGCGGGGGGAACCCCTAAGGGGAAAAAAAGGGCGGGTCCCGGCACGGACGCCCCCGAGCCGCCCGGTTTTGAGTGGGGGGCAATTGTGGGAATCGCCCGAATTGTTGGGGGTTTGTTGTTTTGGGAAGCGGGGGCTGTTTTCCAAGCGGGAAATGGATCTGGGGGTGGGGGGGTGGACAGGGTGGATTTGGGGGGGAGTAAGGACAGGGGGCTCCCCCAAACTTCCCCCCCCGCCTTCCTGCTTTGTGTAACTGCAGCGACGCGTTTCCTGCCCCCCCGGGAATTAAAAATGGTTGGAATTACGCAACGAGGGCGGAGGGCTCGGCAGCGGGATCCAGGGATTCCGGGAACGCTGGGATCGGGGCTTCAGGGTGTCCCCTGCGCCCCTCTCCCCCAAACCCCTGATTGACCCCCCCCCCCCCACCGGGGGTTTTATTGGGGCGTTTTCTGCCCTCCCCCCTCCCCCCGCCCCCGGGAATCAAAAATGGTTGGAATTAGGGTTACAATTACACAATGAGGGGTCCCGAGATAGCGGGACTGGGGGGTAGCAGGACTGGGGTTTTTAAGGTGGCCCCTGTGCCCCCCCAGATTCCCCCCTCACGAGGACCTGGGGGTGCATTTCTGCCCCACAGCCCCCCCATCCCTTCAATTAAAAATGGTTGGAATTACACGACGAGGCCAGAGGGTTACACAGTGGCATGGAGGAATTTTGGGATCAGGTAATAGTAGGATTGAGGTTCTGGAGTTCCTCCTGCACTCTCCAAACCCGGAGCCCTCTCGTATTTCCTGCTCTTTCTTTTTTCTCCCTTTATGCACCGTTTTTCCTCTCACCTATCCCACCCTTTTCCCCCTCCCTTTTCCCACCCTTTTTCTTCTCACCTTTCTTTCTGTTTTTTCCCCTCAGGTTTCCGCCCTTTTTCTCACTTTTACTGCCCTTTTCCCCACCCTCAACTTTCCCGCCCTTTTTCCCCTCACATTTCCCGCCCTTTTTCACCTCATGCTTCCAGCCCTTCCCTCACATTTTTGACTCTTTCCCTCTCACGTTTCCATCCCCTTTTTCTCTCAACTTTTCCCACCCTTTTTCCCTTCACCTTTCACCCTCATTCCCTCACAGGCTCTCACGTGTGGAGACATCAAAGGCAGCTCCTCACCCCGGTCCTGCCATGGACTGGTTCCACTGCGCTCGCTGCTTCCGCCAGGATGGCACCCAGTTCACCATCACCAGCTGTGGCCACATCCTGTGTGAGGGCTGTGGGGGCACAGGTAAAACTGAGGAAAACCCCCAATTTAAGCCCTTAAAATGCTGAGAAAGGGAGAGTTTAACTCAATTTAATCCTTTAAAATGAGGGGGAAAGGACGGGTCACCTCAACACAAGCAAATAAAATGGGCTCTGCCCTCAATTTAAACCCCTAAAATATCGGGAAAAGAGGGTTTGCCCTCAATTTCTATCTTTCAAATGATGGAAAAAAGAGGATTCGCCCTCAATTTAAACCCTTAGCATTGTGGAAATGGAGGATCCTGCTTCAATTTAAAATCCTAAAATGAAGGGAAATGGCCCATTTCCCTCAAGGAACACCACTTTGGGGACTTTCGGACATCTTTTTCTCTCACTTTTTTCTCCCCTTCCTACAGGTCCCTGCCCAGTCTGTGCCACCACCTGTCGCTACCTGCCGCTATCCCAGCAGGCCAGTGCCCACCACATTGTGCCCCATGTCCACTTACCGCTTCCCACCCTTTTCCCCTCATGTTTCCCAGCCTTCTTCCCATCCTTTTCACACCCCCATGCCCAACAGATGCGCCCGGAGGTGAAGGTTTTCTTCAAGAACCCAGTGGCCATTGCCCTCAAGCACCTTGCCCACGTGACGCAGGTGAGGAGGACACAGGTGACGGGGGATGAGGTTCCACCGCTGTCCCCAACCCCACACGCTGTGGGGTTATAAGGGGTGGACCCACATCCTGCAGGTATGGCGGTTCCAGAAGGCACAGGCACAGCTGCTGGTGGACTTACACCGGGACAGAGCTCGGCAGATGCAGGCGGAGCTGGAGAAGGCCAGAGAGGAGCTGAGGGAGACGAGGAGGTGAGGGGGACGCCATGGTAGGGGGTCCATACCTCCATCTTGGGCTCCTCTGGGCATGTGGGTGAGGCAGCACTCCTTGGTCAACATCTTGGTGAGAGTCCTCGTCCTTCTGGGCACTTTCTTGGGAGGGTCTTATCCCCGCTTGGCTGCCACATTGGTGACAGCATGTTTTGCTATTCACTGACATCTTGGTGGGCTTCCACACCTTTGCTCTTCCCCCCTCAGTTGCCCTGTGGGGGGGACCCCCACCCCAAATAGGGGAAATTCACACCCCACGTTAAATTCTCCCACTTCCCAGGGAGCTGGAGTCACTCCGCCAGGAGAATGCAGAGCTGCGCCGCATTCAGGTGACCCCCAAAGTCCTCCTTTCCCTTCCCTGGCCCCCAAAATGCCCCCCAAAGTCCCTCTGCCCCTTCCCTCACCCCCGGACTATCCCCCCCAAACTTCCCTCCCTGCCAAAACTGCCCTCCAGATCTCCCCACAGCTGTCCCCGGGCTGGCGCTGGAGCAGCCGCAGCAGCACCCCCCGTCCCTCCCCCACACAGTCAGGTAAGTGCCTGCCAAATTTTTATGGGGATCTTCCACACTCTAAAACCCCTGCTTGCTCATAGGGGTCCCCCCAAATTTTCCATCTCCATTCCAGTCACCCCCCAGCCCCGCCGGCAGCTCAGCAGCCAAGTGGTCAGGTAAGGGAGGGGCATCCTAAATTTAGAGTGTGGGTCACTCTGAATTTGGGTTGGTGATCCCCCAATTGCACAGGGGTGCCCCCCAAAGCTCCTGCCCCTCTTTTGCAGCCGCTTAGCCCCACTGGAACCCCCCCGGTCCCACAGCACCCCAGGATGGCAGGTGAGACCTCACCCCAAATGGGGGCCACCCCACAATAGTGGGGTTCCCATAATGATCTGCGACACACACCCCCCCCCCCCCCACGGCTGGGTGGACTCACCGACGTTCAACGC